GCCCAGGCTGGAGTGCAGCGGTCGGATCTCAGCTCACTGCAAGCTCCACCTCCCGGGTTTGCGCCATTCTCCTGCCTCAGCCTCCCGAGTAGCTGAGATTACAGGTGTGCACCACCACACCTGGCTAATTTTTGTATTTTTAGTAGAGACAGGGTTTCACCATGTTGGCCAGGCTGGTCTCGAACTCCTGACTTCAGGTGATCCACCTGCCTCGGCCTCCCAAAGTGCTGGGATTACAGGTGTGGGCTACCACGCCCGGCCCTATTTTTAATATTTCTAAATAACATGTCTGCACTGCTGTTTTGTTAATTTTCAGTTCTGGATATCTCTTTTTACTGTAGAAGATCAAGATTTAGCATAATGTTTTCATAACTTGTGGTTAGACTAATATACATTCAGTGTTTACTCTGTTACAATTCCGTGACTTCACTCACAGCTGAGCCATGTGGTGTTCTATATTACAATTTCCTTCTCAGACATTTTTCTATTTTCCCTGAAGTTATGTCTTATTTTTTCACATGTTTTAGTTTCCTATATCATCATTCATCACTGATTCATCCTTAAAGTCTCCAGAAATACATTCTCTCAATACATTAAAATATACCAGGGTACTTTATGGATGAGGACGTTACTTCTGGAATCCTCTGTGGTTCTCTCCCCTGGCCCCTCCCCGGGCTCCCTCTTGAGCAGCATCCCGGGACCCCAGGCTCTCTCCTTGGATTCTCTCTGCCTGGACGTCATGGCGGCCTCCTCCGTGGTTTCTTCCCTCGCGGTGGCGTAGCTCCTCTGTCAGTAGCTCACTGGGGGAGTGCGGAGGAGACCCAGACAGAAGCTCAGTGCATAGCAATGTCTTTGTTCTTTTCTCACATTTGATTGTAGCTAATAAGGAATCTTGATATGGAAATCTTTCCTGCCTCCGAATTGTGAAGGCATTGTCTTCTCCTGTCTGGAGTGCTGTGGATGAGTCTGATGCAGTTCTGATCCTGATCCTTTTTTGAGGCCTGTTTTTTTTTGAGTCTGCTTTCTGTCTCCGAGATTCTCACAGTAATGGGACTCGGTGTTCTGGGTACTTGCTGGGCCCTCTCAAACCAGAAGCTCATGTCCTTTGCTTCTGGGAGATGTTTTGGACTATTTTCTTTAAAATTTTTACTTCCCATTTTCCATGTTTTCTTTCTAGAATGCTAGTTTTTCAGATGTCACACCACCACCTAGACCGGTCCCTTGATTTTCTTATTTTCTGTCTCCTGATATATGTTTTTCTGTGAGATTACAGTCACGTGCCATATAGCAGTGTTTCAGTCAACAACAAACTACAGTGGTCCCATAAAGTTATAATGGAGTTGAAAAATTTCTACCACTTTGTGACATCTTGATAACTCTGACCCTATGTAGGCCTAGGCTAATATGTGTGTTTGTGTCTTCGTTTTTAACAAAATAGTTAAAAAAA